TCGGTTTTTATCCCCTTCTGTAAAAAAAAACAAACAATCTGCATCATTTAAAAGTTATTACGTATACACATTTTTGGTTTTGTGGTTTTAAGGAAAAACGCATGAGAAGATAATTTTACAGATCCGAATCAAATAATATTTAGGTTAAGTTATGATATATTAGACGGGAAAAACATTCATTCCTAAAACTTTTTCATTTAATTTCAATCAATAGTTGGTGTGACAAAATACAAAAAAAAAAAAAGAATTATGAAGTAAACATTCTTATTTTTGCTATTAAGATAAGAAAGGTCATAAATCTCTTAGCTAATCAAAAGAAACTGTATTTTACGTAATAAAATTCATTAATGATACTCTATTGATTAACTATCATTAAAAAAAAATAGTATCTACAATATAAGGATTTCACTTGTTTACGTCAATTTAGATATTATCCCCTCCACATATAAATTAAGGTTACATTCCATATTAATGCTAAAAATTAATCCTCTTAATAAATATTTATAAATGAATGAACAGAAAGTTAAACGTTAAAATTTAAATCACTGAACACATGTTATACATGGAATATTCAAAGGAATGGCAGCACAATTCAAGCGCAACAAAAAAGTTCATAACAGAAATATAACAGAATATAATAATAATAATAATATAACAGAAAATTAGGAAATTTAAATCTGGTGTTTTTTTGAGTGTCACGTTTTTTGTTGAATAGGAAACGATAACTAAAAAATATATTTAATTTTAATAATTAACCATTGCTCCACTGTTAACTAGACAAAATTTTCTTCAACTGGTAGTAGAGTTTGGCATTCTTAAAACCAAAGAGGAATTCTGTGTGGAAAAACTATCCTAAGTTTCAATGTAAAAAAATCATAAATTATTTACAATTTTTTTTCCAATCTTCCAACTATACTACGGATACCAAAATTATAGAAAAACATACTCATTTTGTAAGCTTTAAGTCCATATTAATTAAGTTGGTGTTTATAAGAAACAGTTTTGAGATACACCTCAAGTTATTAAAAAAATGTATTAAGATAATATGGACTTAAAATTTAAGTCTTTAAGAAACTTTTCTTACGGAACCCAGCAAAGTTTATTAGCTCAAAATTCAAATCGGGATTCGTTATTCATTTATAAAATTCGGTACCTTTAGACGTATTGTTTATAAAAATCCTTCGCTGCTGAGAGGTGGAAAGGAGGCTTATGCTATATGTAACAGACTCTGAACAAAAATAACTCAGTGGAATAGACACCCATATTGCTGAAACAATGAAAATCACGTTTACCTTCATTACCAATTTCTAACCATCGGGAGATTACCGCTTTTGTTCGGAGTAAGTAACCTACATTAAATTATTGAAGGAAGCTATTCGACTGTTCAACATATCATGGGTGATAACTATTCAGGACGCAGTCATTATAAGGTTTTTATTAGTGCCGACGTTTCAACCTGAACAAGTGGGTCATCATCAGGGCGTGGTTCGAGCACTGAAGATATTCAAGTACTCATGGACGCAAAATTTGATGCTCTACAACTTTGATTTTATTGGTTTTTCCTGTTAAGAAACTCATTTCCAAGTTGCAGAGCCATTTATAGTCATTTGTCTCAGTTTTTGACAAATTTGGTAAAAATCAATGTTGGCTGACAGCGGTTGAAGTAACCAAATTATAAAGTTTATTTACTCGTTCGGCGTACATTTTACCATTGTTTAATTTATTAACGAGTATATTCTTCGCTTTGATGCATCGTTTAGGAGTTAAAGGTGAAAAAACGAAAAAATCTTACTTTTTTGGCTGTTAAATGTTTTCCCTTGGCGGACAGCTTTAGCAATTCTGTTTTCTACATGTTTAAACCATATATACAAGTTAAAAAACAAAAGCTTTCATCACACTTTTGGCAATATATTGCTTGTTTCGATCCTCAAATTACTGGACTAATATTCTTTAATACAGACGCCATTTTTGAAAGCAGCGGCTCTGGAACGGCAGAGAAGTGATGACGTCGATTTTTGGGCCCTGGCTCGAGGGTTATGTGTTTTTATGATCGAGGCTTGGGAGAGTAGGATAGGAAAGTTGGGATAGTCTTCTGGGGCACATCCAGCCTCTATAAAGTTGATATTTTTAATGAATTAATTAAGGGAAAAAACTTGGCTGTTTTGACACTGCTGTTAAGTATATGTTTATTGTAATTGTTGTTCAGAGCCTAATTGTGTTTTATTAGCCAGAAAATAAATAATGGCTTATTAAAAGTATATATTTTTTAAAGATCTTTTTATTGATTAATAATACATTTTTCCACACATAAGGGCATGGAGTACTAGAGCTGAGTGAGACTCATTCATACTATATATACAATACATTAAAAAAAAAAATAAAAGATATATATCTATTTTAGGAAAGCAAGAAACTATAATAAAACCAAAGAAATATATCTTGAAGCTAAAATTAAATAAAATACAGAACTTTGTAGTAAAAATAAATACAATACAAGTAAAAGAAATAAATCTATAAATAAAAAAAATATATTAAAAAAAAACATTCATATTGAATTACAATATTAACAATCAGCTGAGGGAGCACCGAGTCCAACCCTTTTCCTCACGTATAATAACAAAAGTTAGAACTGTGAAATTTGGACACAGCACAAGTTCGAGGAAGATTCATTCAATTGGCCACATCATCCCAATCTCAAACCGGGACTTTTCAACAGCTGCATTGTTTTTTATTTTAAAACTATTATAATAGCTTCGAGACGGGGTTTGCACTTCCTGTATTACCATAACAAGAACAAGTATCATCTGATTACTTCATGGCTACGACTAGCCACAGTATAAAACATTAATTTACTAAAAGCTTGTGCATTAAACCACAATGGAGAGAGGGGAGATGGGAACCCAGAACAAAAGAATCTTTAAATAATAAACTCTTCAACCGGAGTGCTCTATGGTTTGGAAGACATTAACTGGGCTGCCCCATCGGACCTGCCAATGTTCTTGAAGTTTTAATGGGCATTCGGTTCCGTTGTCGTTTTCATATAAAACATAAAATTTATTTATTAATGAAAAATTATTTAATTTTTTAAAAATATTATTCGAAGTTATCTAGGTGAGGAATAAAAATCCTGAGAGGAGAATCTAGAACACAAGTTGGAAGGAGATCTCCCAAGGCTGCACGACTCGAAGGGTTCAAGGCCACTTCGCTAGCTGACCTTGGGACCTCCACTATCGCTCCATTACATCACTCCAGCGAGTCAGGAAGGAATGGATTCAGCAGGCACTCTGGAAAAATTCCTTGTACGATAGTAAATATTTTAGTTAATTTTTTTGTACGTCGGAAAAATATATTATTTCACTTGTTGAAATAATATATTTCGGTGCTACTTTTGTCAATATATAAAATATGTTTGTTAATTTTATGGAATTATACATATTCGGAACCTATTCATTCATTTTGTTACGGGCCAACCATTGGTTCCTACTGAGAATGATTAAGTACTTTATACGTTCTCTCTCTATAGATCCTTATTTAATCGTAAGTAAGTTATATTTGCCAGCTTCAATAAAACAAGAAACTCCCCGAAAAAAAAAAAAAAAAAAAAAAGAAAAAAAAAAACATTCAAATAAAAATAAAAACAAGAGGAAATATGCAATATTTGAATTTGTTTACTCCAGTGTATAAATAAATGGACTTTTGAGGTGAATCTCCTTAGAAAATTCTTCTTTTTTTTTCATTAATATATATTTCTTTACATGAATTAACTATTACAAATACATAAATAATTATAAGTTCTCTCTTTCAAAGGAACGGGGTGGCCGAACGGGAAAACGCGGGTGTTAAACACGCGTTGCCCGGCAACCAACCACATGATAACCAAAGTTAGAATAGAATAGAATATTTTATTTTATTTGATTAAGGAATTTCCTGTACAATTAAATATAATGGTATTATTAACAATGTTAGATCTTGAGTCTAGTTCTGCGTTCAAACAAAACATTAAGAACGTCCACAGCATTAAGTATGACTAATATAATAATAGATTAATGAATGATATATATATATATATATATATATATATACACATAACCAATTAGTAAAACATTTTTTTTTTTAATAATAAAGTTTAAAAAAAATATTCCAGAGGCATAAAACAAATAACAATATAAATAAGCATTAATATATGTTTATATGATTAACTATGCCACTTAACAGTTCAATCAGTCTACTATGAAAAAATACAGTTATTTATTTTTGTCATTTTGTCTATTTTCAGTATCTCCTCCACACAAACATCTTCCCTGGATTCAGTGATAAATGTCCTCAAGTGCTTATTTCTTGGTTCATTGAACTTGATATATTGAATCAAAAAATGATAACCAAAGTTACTAGATATAAAATAATAACGAGTTCGCTTCCCGTTGCCGAGGAGGCTTTTAAATCTGGCATTAATCCCCAACCCTCTCTCCTGACCCGAGAAAATCCCCGTATAGCCTTCAAAAGCGAGGAAGGGGTGAACAAAAAAAAAGTTCTATCTTTTAATCATAACATATGTATATACAGATGTTACATAATCTGCTTTTGAATATACGTGTCCAAAAAAATAATAATAATAATAGAACTTTTATACTTCTTGAAGAGAAGAATAGTTGGGGTGATCAGTCAAATAAGAAGGCAAAAACAAATGATAATATTTATTTTGACATTTGCCGACATTTCGACCTGAAGTTTAGACCTTCATCAGGGCTGTCTCAACCAGTGTTGAACGGAGAAGCTGCTTCTGGCCTGATGAAGGCCTGAACTTCAGGTCGAATATACGTGTCAAAATAAATATTATCATTTATTTTTGCCTTCGTATTTGACTGATCACCCCAACTATTCTTCTCTTCATTAGTCACGACAGTCAACCATTTTATCCACACTTTTATACTTCTTCTTCTTCGTTCTTCCCATTTTGGAAAGAATACGTGATGTTCAGTTTTCCTTGACGATCGTAAAAGATGTCAGTGGACCATGTCCATTTTTCGGCCAACATCTCCGATTTCTGCGTCATTTGTAGGGTTTGTTCCCTCGCAGTTGATTTTCTGGTCAGGACCGTCTTCGATACTACCGTCTTCGGCTCCATGTCAGTACTGGTAGCACTGCTGCCTGTTACCAGGGATATCTATCGGCCTCCCGGTCTAGTTCTGTCGCGTTCAGTCAAAAGCAGAGTTACCTCGGGCAGGATGCGGTTCTTCACTGCGTACAGACGGGCTTGTCAGTAGCGTCCTCGAGGTCCACTTACAGTTTCTCAGGCCTATCGGCTACTCCCCTGGTTTTGAGTGAGGACCAGTCTCTAGGTCTTCCCCATCTAAAGGTACCTCTCCTCAACCTACCTCCCTCTCCTCAACACCTTGACCCCACTTTTATACTGAAATGCATTATTCTTCCTCTAATTACCTTTACTGCGTTACTAAAAATAAAGTCAGTTCCTTCAAAATTAAATCCTGGATTCATTACTGCTCAAACTTAGTGATTTTTTGAAATTTAATCACAAAGTTACACATACAGCTACATTTTAATGTATACTATGAATTCCTTCAATGGTCTTCAACCTAGCATTAAAATAATTCTATATTGTAGAGCCCAACATACAGAACAAGTGCAGAGATTGGTTTGTTTTAAGAAATATCCTTCTATCGAAAATAGCAGTTATATTACAGGCAATAAACCATTGGAAAACGTTTACAAAAACTATTTACACACGGATAATGTTCACTCAAGAAGTGAGTTCTTTGAATATCCGAGAATCCGAAAATCACCGAGCGATTATTTTCGATATTATGATTTTATAATGCCGTTTTCAATGTAATGAATGCAGAGAAAGTCGGAGAGATAAAAACGGTAGTTAAAAAAAGAATTAGTTTTGAAACGAGCTCTTATCCAAAGTCGAAGCGGTTGACGTGGAAAAGGACCCAATTAAAGACGAAGTGACAGCTTGAAGAGAACCAAGAAGAAAAGATGGTCTCAGACGAACCAGAAGTTAAACTATTTGTTCAAAAAATATTCCAGAAAGAGAAGGAAGGGTTCCAGAAGATTCAAGCTTGGCTAAACTCCAGAAGGTGGATCCCGATTTATCGCGCTTCAAGGAGGTCCAGCATTATAGTAGAAGAAGAGTTGGGATGCTATAAAAAAGTTCACGATGGAAAGAAATAGATTTCTTAATCATTTTTAATACGCCTTTTTCTTTTAGAAACTCGATGGCTTGGTTTTTGAATCCGATTTTTTCATAACAAGCGTATTCTATTTCATCCTTCCTGCATTTCTTAACATTTTGAACTTTTATCATAACCATTAATAGCACCCTTATTATTTATTAATGAATTAAGTAGAAAATATCGTTATTCTTTAGATGATCAACTTATATTTGTTTGTTCTTTTCCGCTTTATTCATTTTCTGTAATGTTTTCCCCATCAATTATTAATTTCTTACGATTATTCAGAATACATTTAAGCTTGTATTAATTTTTTTTTTAATTTCTGACATTTTTTTTTCCGACCCCCCAGGAATTTATTTTCTATACAAAATACAATGTATAAATAAATAAAGAAATATATATACAAACATTTCTAATTTCCTTTTGATTTCTGACGTAAAACATGAACATAATTTTTATTACATCAGTACATAATAAATGTTATGAGAGTAGCAACTAACATCGATAGATTATCTCCAATTTGATTTTATTTTCAATTTCATAATTAATTATTAAATTAAGTTAATAATTAATTATGTATACTTAACCTGAATTACTATTTTGCAAACCTTTTTTAATTCAAATGAAATTACTAAACATTTCAGAGATTTTATTGTGCATACTAAACTGAACAAGTTATGTTCATATTTTGGTAGAAATTCAGAGTCTCATTTTCGACGGGTGAAGAGGACATAAAAAAAAAGACATATTACTTCTAAACTACCTTAGGATAAGTGAATTATTGAAAGAACCATGACAACTATTTCGATGAGCAAGTGTCGTAGGGCCCACCAAAACGTATGCGGGAGGATAGTGTTAGATAATTAACAATGGGAATTCGGGTTTTGATAAAGTCCACTAAAGGGAGACTTTTAGGCAAGGGCTGTTAATGTTATTGGGACGAAAAGCCTTTTATTTGTAGTTCATGGTGAAGCCCCTTTTTTACCACATTATTAAAATCCACCAAAAATTGTGAATGGTTTCATCATATCATAACATACATAGATTTTATCTACAAAATTCTCAAAAATGGAGCGTTTTCTCATTACATTAATTAATTAAATTAGATACTAAAAACTCTTAAATATTCATTTGTTTTTAACTTGAATTGCAAGATAATTTGATAACGAAATCGATAAAAAAAAGATGGTCTGCAAAAATATTGGGCCAGTTGGCCTATATGACATTTATTGCCATGTTCGGCATTTTATAATCACAATAATAATCTTACGATTCAAGTGTAAAGTAAATGTTTAGTGATGAGTTTTTAATACCTAATTAAATAGACAAAGTTTGCCAATCTGCAGATTGAAAACGCCCCAATTCCGAGAATTTTCGCAAAGAAAACAATCGTAGATTTCGAAGAGATGAATCTATTCACAAAGTTTTTGGTGGATGTTAATAATTTTAAAAAGGCATTTGTACAATAGACAATAATTTATTATAAATTATTATAAACATTATTTATTGTTTTTAAACAGTAAAAAGTAAAGGAGGCTAAATTGTCTATAAAAACATTTGTCATCAATAGTAACTTCAAACTTGGCTGTTGGTATGTTTTAATTTTATCTGGAGTTTTTCTTGGCAAATTTTATTTTATAAATGGAGAGGGTGTGATGCTTTCCGAGAGGAAAAATAAATATTTCGTTTGAAAATTATGAAGTAATAACGCTGAGAGTGTGTCCCATAAATTCATTCGTTTTTAATAACTCTTTGAAGTAATTTGACGTAAAATAATAAAGAATGTTGAAAATATGACCCAATTTTATTTTAATATCAAGGATACGAGCTTGATTTAATTTGTTTTGTTACTCCAATTTTTTTTTCTAGTATATTTATTTCCACTCAGATTTATTAAACTTTTTTAATATAAAATATAGAACACATTGTTTCGTTTTACTTGCTTCTATTGAAAATTTATCAACTTCATCTCAATATGAAATTAGACAAATTTCGTTATAATTTTTAGACGAAATATTCTTTGTTTATTTTAACAATCATTTTTATTTTCATTAATATTATTTAAAAGATAGAACTTTTGAATCATTTCAAAGTAAATAAGAGTATTTTTAACAGGTTATCTGAAAATATTATTTCGATACTTAATACTTATTTCGTACAGATTAAAAATATGTTTGGGTGCAACACAATTAAATAAATTTCTGTGGCACTCGAAGAAAGATTACCGAACAATGAGAATGAATATTAATTTCATACTTTCAGTCTCTTTTCTTTTTCTTTTTTTCTTTTTTACTCTTTTATGAGGCACGAGATGATGTAATGAGGCAATCTGTGAGTTAAGAGTGAGTCATCCTTTTTTTTTTATTTTTTTTATTTTGTGTGTAGCAAGCACACACCACATTTGGACTACTGTGGGAAAATTCTGAGTAATATGCTAATAACTCTAATGAGCATAATTAACCAAACCTCTATACACAATACTAAAGGATAACTGTCCATTTATTACAGTAACATCCCCTCAAAGCTGCAATATTTATATTTATTTGAAAAACATTTATTAGATAATGATGTTCCTCTAAACTACCAAAAAAAAAAATCAGACTTCAAGTTGTTGTTCATCTCGAAATGTACATAGAGAGGAAACATTTTGTTTACTATATAAGTCTACATCGGTTTAAATTTACATTGGCCATAGAAATCCAAATCATCACGCAATTTAGCAAACAAAATTTACTCATCAGTTTATATTGTTATTATCTGACGCACAAAAAATTTATACTGAAAGTTTTTCTTTGTTGTATGCCAATCATGAATGCCATCGTTGTATTTCATTGATTCAAAAAGATTTTTTAAATGCAATATTTTGTTAATTTTTTTTACTTATTATTATTAAATAAAAAATAATGATATTATCTGTCATAATCAAGGGAAATAGTTATTGTGACTAAAATATATATTAACACGCTAAGATACGAATTAATAAAAAAAAAAATTTAAAAAACTTTGTTCTTTATAAATTTATATTTATATATAACGGAATAAACGTAAGAATAAATCAAATTTATGATTGTATCTGCGCATAAAATTGAATTTAGTGGCCGCTAAAATTTAATTTAGTCAAATACGCCATGAATTAGTTTATATAATGATTAATTTCTTAGAAGTGTGGGTTTCCATGATATTTAAAATAAAGTAACGAAATGATGATATCTCATTCAAAAAAAAAAAAATAATAAAAATTATCTCAGGAACTACGAAGTACGACTCCTATTTATTCTATTTACAAGATGGTATTCACACTTTTTTCCCATAAAACATTTTGTTTACTATATTAGTCTACATCGGTTTAGATTTAAATTGGCCATAGAAATCCAAATCATCACGCAATTTAGCAAACAAAATTTACTCATCAGTTTATATTGTTATTATCTGACGCACAAAAAATGTATACTGAAAGTTTTTCTTTGTTGTATGCCAATCATGAATGCCATCGTTGTATTTCATTGATTCAAAAAGATTTTTTAGATGCAATATTTTGTTAATTTTTTTACTTATTATTATTAAATAAAAAATACGAAATAAATGAAAAATTTGTTGAGGTCACACATTTGAATAAAACTTAATATAAACAAAATATACTGAATATATATATATATATATATATATATATATATATATATATATATATATATATATATCAATATATATATATATATATATATATATATATATATATATATATATATATATATATATATATATATAAAATTAATTTTATCGAAGCTGGATGGGGAATTTTCTCACCTAAAAATATACAGAATTCAAGTTGAGAAGGGATGCCGCTGGGCACTTCTTGCCCTCACGCCGATAAAGCCACTATTAGTATTTTACCGAGAACAGACTCGCTAATTGTCAGTATTTCTGACAGGTGTGGGTAAAAAAAATAAAGTTTAAAAAAATTATAAAGAAAATGTTGATAAGATTAAAAAAAATTATACATTTAAATCTGCATAGATAGACTAATAAAATAATGACAAAACACACAGTCCCACAATTTAAAATAAGGT